TAACTTCTTTGTTAATATTGTAAATGATCTATTAAGAATGCCATATTATTCGCAGTTGTTTAATCTGTTTAATTTCCAGATTTGACGCTGTTTGGTCTTCTTGTTGCCGAGATATTGCTGGAAATGTAAGAAGATTTCTATTATTTACGGTTACTTTTGAACTTACTTACTGTTATAATTTTATTGTTATCCATAGAATTTTTTTAATTTTGTTGTTAACTGTAATCGCCGTGAACCGTAGATGATAAATGTGAAAAAAAAAGGGGGTTTGCCGAACATTTTTAGAGAAAAAGTATTTTGGATGAAATAACTAAAAAAGCTCAATTTCTTAATAATTGAAAAAGGCTTTAAAATGTTACTGTAAAAGTAATTTTTCGCGAAAGAAACGAAAAATACAAGAGAAAGGAAAATGTTTATTAAGTTAAAATTCCAAAAAAATTAAAAAGGTATGCAAAATTGTTGAAAATGGAAATTTTAGTGGGGTGGGTAGGACGTTTTTTTGAACAGCTACTTTTGAACTTACTTACTGTCATAATTTTATTGTTATCTATAGAAATTTTTTAATTTTGTTGTTTTTGTAATGCTTGTGTGTCGTAGATAATGAATATGTTTTAAAAAAATAGGGTTTGCCGAGCATTTTCAGAGAAAAAAAACATTTTGAATAAAAAGCTAAAATAACCAGATTATTTAAGGACTGCAGAGAGTTTTGAAGTTGTTGGGAATGGAATTGTTAGTGGAGTGAGTAAGAAGTTGCAAATCAATTTGATAATAATGCACATCAATTTGATAATTTTGTTGTTGTCGTTTGTAATCGTCGTATACCGTAAACAACAAATGAATGAAACAGGTGCTGCAACAGTAACAAGTATTTGTTTCAGTCGAAGCATGCCATTTGCAAGCGAAAATCGAAGAAAAACGCTCCTCAATTTAAAAAATAGGAAGGCAGTTGAGGCAAACGAGGAGGCTGTTGGAGAGGAAGTGGGTAGACAGCGGCTGCCAAACGGCAGCAGTAGGGCAGGATGTGGCGTGTCAGACCAAGACCGCCACC